CTCCAGTTCTGTATGCATAAATAAATACATCTTTTAAAATAAATAAATCCTTTAATGTAGGTACATGTATTATCCCATTTTCACAGATGACTTAACTGAGGAACAGAAGTTTACTTGGCCTCCTGCGTTTCCCAGCTGGAGCCCTATAAATTGAACTGACAAGAGACAGATTAACAAGAGAACAGCATATACTTTTACTTAGTATGTCTCGTTTATTTGACAGAGTGGTCCTTAGAAGGAAATGAAGACTTCAAGAAGACCTCAAGAAATGAATGTTTTTATGTAAGTTTGGTGATAAGCAAGAAGTTGGAAAATGTGACCAAACAGAAGGGTATGAGCTACAGTTCATGAAGGGGCAACACTACAGGCCTCTCAGAGCCCCTCTGTGTTTATCCTTGGGATGCTCCTTTCCTCCAAGCACAGGGCAGTTGCCTCCCTCCACATCCTCCGGTGAGAGATTTGCAATCTCTTTCGGGGAGGAGGGTGAGATCTGAGAATCCTTTCTGGACTTGAAATGTCCCAAATTACATTAGCTTAAAATATTCAGCAAGCTGTGACGACATATTTTAGGGTAGCATGTTCAGAACTTTGTCAAATGCAAATCTCTGAGCTCTGTGAGCCTGATCTGTGAAATGAGTGACTTGTACTAGCTCTGTGAGTCCCACATGTAGACATCACAATCCCTTGACGCACTTTCAAAAAACAAGTATCTGGACCCAGACCTGGAGAAACTTGACACCGTAGCTTCTGCCTGCAGTCCAAGGCGTTCATGGTAACATCCCCTGAAGTTCTGATCTGTGACAGCCTGTGGGACTGTAAAATGCAATCGATTATCCTACAGCCAGATCCTTAGCTGGCAGATGCCATAGGCGGTTTCTGATGTGAGAAGCTGCTGACTGGCAGCAGTAAACATCATTAAGAGAAAGCGCAACTAAATCATCTGTATGTCAAATGAGGCTAATTACACCAGCAAAACCCTCTCTGTCAGCATGTGGATAAATGCTTAGTGGAAGCAGCTGGAGAAACATAGCCACTTCCTCTAGTCATTCAGTAAGATGGAAGTTACCTGAAAGAAGGCGCCTTACAGAAATCCCTAAATCTGCTTGGTCATTAGAAATATTCGATCACATTAGAACAATTTGAATTCATCAGAACAGAATTTAAATTTAAAATCTTACAAGCAACAATTCGGATCATTTCCTCAGTAAAGCTTCACATCGACATGCAAATGGTGGTTTCTGCTTTTTTTTTTTATACACAACTCCATCTGAAAATATCTGAGTTGCGTTCTGTAAAAGCAACACTTTGTATAAGCCCTTTTGCTTATTGCCTTTATATAATGGTTCCTATCGTGGAAGTAGTTTATAAAATTTATTACATTTTACAATTGCCTTTGCTTTTCTTTAAATATGTCTGTGGTTATCCATGAAATGAGAGCAGTAATAGTTCACATTAACTAAGGACTTTACTCTGTGCCTAGACCATCTTACTTAATTTACATATAACTCCATTTAATACTCTCGATAATAGCATATGGTAAATATTATTCTCCTTTCTTTTTTCGAAAGGAAAATGGCTAAGTTGGCCAACAGCACATAGTAACTAAGGAGACAAGTGGGACTTGAATACAGTGTGCTGATTCCAGATCTTCCTTTCCTCTGGTTATAATATCCAATTAATTATTATAAATTAATGGGGAAGAGGAAAAGGAATTCCTCGGACTGCCATCATGTCACCCAACTTTAGAACCTTCTCTTTTTTAGACAAATATTTCCAAAACACAGATTTTAAAACACATTGCACTGGCCACTAGTAGATGATTTTTGAAATCATCAGGGAACGGTACATTAAACAAATGGGTTTCTGTAGTACAGATTTCTTAGTTTCTCGAAAAACTTACATACTTACAGATCTACAAAACACAAATGTAGAATATAACATTTTGCTAATCTCCTTGAACACAACTTTCTTCTGCCACTGTTCTTTAGAGTGAATCTATGACACGATGGTCTGCAGATCAGTGCCTGACAAAGTGACCTCCTCCCTCCCTGTGAGGCCACGCCCTGGCTTTCCTTTTACGGGAGCTGTAGGAAGATGTTTTAGAGGCAGCAACAAGGCAGCTCTAGGCCCCTGTGTTCTTGAAAAATTATCTTTATACTGGTAATGCCTCTCTGGGGAATAAATTTAGTTAGATATATGCAAAGTCTCTCCACTTGGGGACAGTCAAGATAAACTACTGGGATAGGAAGAAAATATTTGAATTTCCATTTAAAAATTATTTTTTGTATGTGATTTGATAAATGTCTGGTATAAATTAAAAATGTGCCTAAGGCCCTCCCTGGTGGCACAGCGGGTTAAAGCACAGCACTAAGAAGCTAAAACCACTTCCACATGAGTTTGATTCCCGCCTGCCCGGAGGTGACCACATGGCGTGGGAGACCTCTCCTGACCCGCCCACTGCTCCCCTCAACAGTGTACTTCGTAGATCTGCCTGTTCTTCTCCCCACTCTGTCTCTGGTGAAGCCTCTCGCTGCCCCTGAGCCTCTGGCCTGTACCCCTGTTCTGTATGCAGAAAGAAATAAATCTTTAAAAAAAATTGCCCAAAATTTATACTTACATATAAACATATTATGTAGTGTGTATTATATTTAAATATCTTTAAGATATCATGTAGTAACATAACAAGTGTGTGTAATATAATAACAAATATAGTTAATAATGTAGGTTTATATGTTATAGATTATAAGTATTTCTGTAATTACTATATCTAGTATTTGTCCATATATATTAGTGATTGTATGTAACATTGAAATAGTAACATATACATATAATTTGCAAATGATTTTACATATATTACACTATGTATGTGTGTATGTGTATATACATATATATCCCATACCATATATATCCCATATCTCATATGTACTATTGAGGGGAGTCACTTAGGCACGCACATTCAAAGCCTTTAATTTCTTTATATTCTTTGAGTCAGAAATTTCATTTCTTAGAATGTATTCAGTTTATACTAATGGAATAATCTTCTGCATGAACAAATATTTAGCTCCATGTATACTCATCAAATAACTGCTTTTACTTGTAAGAATTAAAAACAGTCCAAGTAGGGCCCTCCCTGGTGGCACAGCAGGTTAAAGCACAGTACTGAGAAGCTAAAGCCACATCTCTGGCATGTACCCCAGTTCTATATGCAAAAATAAATAAATCTTTAAAAAAAAAAACAGTCCAAATATTCAACAATGGGAGATTGGTTACATAAACTATGAGCAATCAAGCAAAGAATCATACATTAAAAATTACATATTAGTGGCCCTCCCTGGTGGCGCAGCGGGTTAAAGCACAGCACTGAGAATCTGAAGCCACTTCCGCATGAGTTCAATTCCCGCCTGCCCCGGAGGTGACCACATGGCGTGGCAGACCTCTCCTGACCCGCCCGCTGCTTCCCTCAGCAGTGTACTTCGTCGATCTGCCTGTTCTGCTCCCCACTGTCTCTGTCTCTCACCGCCCCTGAGCCTCTGGCCTGTACCCCAGTTCTGTATGAATAAATAAATAAATCTTTAAAAAAAATTACATATTAGTAAAATGTGTAACTGCCCTTGGGTAGAGAAATTTTGATTTTGTAAGTAAAAAAACAGATCACTATAGGTTATTGAGTTCATATGCCTGGAAGAAAGGACTGGAATGATGGACAAACTTACCAGTGATTTCTCTTACTTTAGGGAAACATTTATTTTCTTTGTTTCCCAACATTTGAACAACAACTTTATATTCTTGAACAGGCACAGCATTCATAAGTTCAAATTCTGGTAATCATAAAGAAGTAGATAGTTACAAAATCTTCCCAGAAGTCAGTTCTTCTCTTGACAAATATCCAAAGTTGTTGGTTACCTGTGTATCTTTCCAAGGATCTGTTGTGTGGATGTTCATATATGTATACACATTCTTTTTAACCTTAAATAAAAAATAGCCTCAAATATTATTGTTTCATAATTAAGTAATCTTGCACACTGATCATTTCACCAACATGGGAATATAGCCAGAGGACACATTCTGAAAAGTGGCATTGCTGGGCCAAAGGAAATATCCATTTGTCATTTGGATAAATACTACCATATTGCTGTGAAAAAAACCTCATGTTTTTTTCTTGTTGGACCTTTTTACATTTTAACTTTAAGTCATTTTAATTTATCCTAGCGTAATGAATAACTTAATAAGAAAAACAAATTATTTAAAATATTAAACTCCTTACTCGTTGTGGAAATTCAAGTGCCAGTTGTCCCCATCTGTTCGATCACAGGATCTAGATGCAAATAAGGACAACTTGCAAAGGTTCAGCTTACACAGCAGATGAGTAACAGAGCCAGACCTCTGCTCTGCTGTGAGAAGGATTACTTGTTTCCAGAATCACATTATCGTGAAGAGGGAAATCCTGAGAACTTTATTTCCACCGTCAAGAGAATTTTTCAGCTCACTAGTACTCAAGTCCTTGTGTGGATTTTCCTTCGAAATATTGTAAGTTGCTTTCATCATTTAAATAAAAAGAGGTTGTCTCTCCTGTGGGGTACCTGGATACGAGCTGCATGAATTTGTGTGTGACGATGTGAGCTCATGTAGGAAAATAACTCATTTTATTCCTGCAGAGATTGTGTAGGCCAGTTCCACTGCGGAACCTAAGCAGCTGGACTGAAATGTCAGACGGATTTGTGCAGCTGACTCAAGTTGCCAAAAAGAGAGCAGCATAGTGGTTCCATAAATCGACCCTATCTAGCCAAGTCCTGCTTAATATAGAGATTGCATGAGCTTAGCTGCAGTCACTCCTCTCTGTTCAGCAAGCACCAGTTGTGTTCTTGAGAGGGAAATTATCTCAAGGTGGTGTTGACTCAGGACACTTGTTAACTGGGGAAACTTCTTAAGAATTAAAAAAAAATAATTCTCTCTGATTCTTTTTCCTTCTTTAGTAAAATAGAAAAATACAGAAAAAAATCATGTCAGAACACAGCAGGAATTCAGATCAAGAAGACCTCTTTGATGGCGAGATTGATGAAGATGAAATCTTGGCCAACTTGTCCCCTGAAGAGCTGAAAGAACTGCAATCCGAAATGGAAGTCATGGCCCCTGATCCCAGGCTTCCTGTGGGAATGATTCAGAAAGATCAAACTGACAAGCCGCCAACAGGAAACTTTGACCATAAATCTCTTGTTGATTATATGTATTGGCAAAAGGCATCCAGACGCATGATGGAAGATGAACGTGTTCCTCTCACCTTTGTGCCATCCGAGGTAACTAGGGATTTGTGTCCTATAGAGGAATGGTCCTGGGGCTGTCAGTTGCCCTTGTTTTAACTGCCATTTCTCAAGATTCCATGTTTTTATCTTGTTTTGTTTCCACTTGTAGATTAAGTCATAATATTTAATCCCACGATAGATTGGAATTTTCTGTATGGGGAAAGTTGGCAATTTCTTGCAAATGTCTCTTTTTAAAAATTCTGCTGGATTTGTAGGAAAGTCCATATTCTATAGACATGAAATGTAATGAGTAAACTCACAACCCAGGAGCAGTTGTTGTTCTGGGGTTTTCTGGTTTTGATTTGGGGTCTTTTTTTTTTTTTTTTTCACATAGGCTCTTTAAGGAGCAATCACCTCTCTAACATCTGAAGCTGTCGTTTGGATACACATATGTGTGCAATATTTTATGTACAATTTCAAGGGTGTGATAGTCCCACAAAGGCCAGTCACACATCCTGCAACTCCACCAAGTCAAAATAACTGAAAATATCTAATATCCCCGCAGCATATTGGATATGAGTTACAACATTTAGACCATGCTAGCTATCAAGGCAGTTTTTAAAATTGTTCTTTCTTAAAGGCTCTTTTATTTCTTTATTGAGATAATATTAGTTTACAACACTGTATATGACTTAGGGAAACAGATTCATGCCTCCTCAAATGGACATTACTCTCACCATTACCAGAGAACTGGAACTTGTGGTTGAATTTATGAACTTAATTATATGTCAGCATATTTTTCAGTGTTTCATTTTAAAATGACTTAGCAAAAAGAAGACAGGAACCCTAGGTAAATTCTCTTTTAGTCATGTCTGATAAAGATATATCTTGTCATATTACTATCCCACTGGTTATAATTAAAGGAAGTTGTAAACTGGTTTCTGGGTCATCAGAGTTTAAACATGTACTGAGCTCCACAAAATAAAAGTCGCTGGCTAGATCAGGTTACAGTTAAAGGGAAAACTTGCAGACATTTTACAATTGGTATGAAAACCGATTCTATATGAACACCAACTTCAGGGGGGCAAACTAAAGGGGCACTTTTAACACTTTAGTAACTAACGCTGGCATGAATTAAACAGCTTGATGGTTGGCTCCCCCTGCTGGGACAAAGGAGAAGTGCAATGGTTGAAGGCTTTAGAAGGTGAAAATTTGTCAGTACTCAAGTCCGGTTTATCATGTTAGAAACAGGAAAGTTAAGTTCTTGCTCAAATAAATCTGGGTATACTAGATTGATATTCTAGATTTCAAACACATTTACGAGGTACCCACACTGTACAAGAAAGCACACAAATTGATGAGCAAAAGTCTAATTAAAAAAATGCCATTTTCTTTCTCAGGCTAAGCAGTCGTTTCAAAATCTCTGCGTGATCTTGTCCCCTTTTGTGGCTGACTCTGACTTCTAAGTTGATTTCTTACAAAAGAAAATATTCTACTGAGTCTGCCCTAGAATTAGTCAGGGTAGCTTTAACAGAACAGAAACAAAATCAAAGTTTTGCTATATTCCAAAATATCAAACTGCTCTAATTTCCCACAAATATGTTTCAATATTGACATTATTCTAGATTAACAAGCACTTTCAGACAATAAGAAAATTATTGTTTATATAACCTAGGATTATTGAGTGTAAGGATGTCTATTCTACATACAAAACAGACTTCAATATATTTATAGTTCTGTAAGTTTGCCAAGACAAATAATTTCAACTGTTTCTGAATGCAACCATTAGAAAAGACAACATAGAATTTCAAAACAAAATTAACTAGGTTTCATCTTAACAGATGAGATAAACAGTCAAAAAAATGTGTGTATGCGTGTATATTGAAAATTCGTTTTTATTTGGTTGTATTTGCTCATAAAACTAAAGTGTATGTGCAATTCTTAAAAAACAAAAACCTCAAACACATTAGAATTGTGTAATGTAAAAAGGGAAAATCTTCTTCCTCAGTTGTCTTAATAGTTACCATTTTTCTTTAGAGATGGCTACTAAATTGGCAAATTTACAAAATAATACAAAAAATTAATACAAAAGACATTTTTTCTATTCATTTATAAACTTTTATATATTATAGATATATTTATACACGCGTACACAAATGGGATATAGTATATGTTTATAATTACCTCCACATACACTTGCATATACATGTACAGTTTATCTGTTTTTCACTTACTAATAAATATTTTTATTATTTCCAGTAGGTATTGCTGCTATGTATTCTAACCCCAAAACCCTTTGTTTTAGGAAAATGCTCATGAGAAGCATGAAGAAATAGACAATGATAATAAAAATATGTCCCAGTATTTAAAAGAAAAGCTCAATAATGAAATTATTGCAAATAAAAAAGAATCAATGAAAAATATATCCCAGTGTTTAAAAGAAAAGCTCAATAATGAAATTATTGCAAACAAAAGAGAATCAAAGGGCAGCAACAATCTCCAAGAAACAGATAATGATGATGATGATGATGATGATGATGATGATGATGATGAAGATGATGATGATGATGGTGATGATGATGATGAAGGGGAAGATACTAGTGAAGAGAATGGTGAAAAAACAAAAAAAGAAGAGGAGTATGAAATAAATGAGAAAATCAGGAATGGTGAAAGAAACTGCCAACAGGTAACCAATAAAGCATTTGAAAAACAGAAAGACAAACCAGAGGCACAAGAAAAAAATGAGAAAAAAATATCAAAGCTAGATCCTAAGAAGTTAAGTCTTGATACCAGTTTTTTAAAGGTAAGTGCAAGGCCTTCAGGAAACCAAACAGACCTGGATGGGAGCTTGAGGCGGGTTAGACAAAATGATCCTGACATGAAGGAACTCAACCTGAACAACATTGAAAACATCCCCAAAGAAATGTTGCTGGACTTTGTCAATGCAATGAAGAAAAACAAACATATCAAAATCTTCAGCTTAGCAAATGTAGGTGCAGATGAAAATGTAGCATTTGCCTTGGCAAACATGTTGCGTGAAAATAGGAGTATCACCACTCTCAACATTGAGTCCAACTTCATCACAGGGAAAGGAATCGTGGCCATCATGAGGTGTCTCCAGTTCAATGAGACACTAACTGAGCTTCGGTTTCACAATCAGAGGCACATGTTGGGTCACCATGCTGAAATGGAAATCTCTAGGCTTTTGAAGGCCAACACCACTCTCCTGAAGATGGGCTACCATTTTGAACTTCCGGGTCCAAGAATGGTGGTTACCAATCTGCTCACCAGAAATCAGGATAAACAAAGGCAGAAAAGACAAGAAGAACAGAAACAGCAGCAACTCAAAGAGCAGAGAAAGTTAATAGCCATGTTGGAAAATGGGTTGGGGCTGCCACCTGGGATGTGGGAGATGTTGGGGGGACCGATGCCAGATTCCAGAATGCAGGAGTTCCTCCAGCCTTCTCCTCAACCACCCAATGCACAAGCAGACCCTTTAAATAGACGAAATGAAATGATGAAAAAGCCATCACAGCCTCCACAGTACAGGACGGACCCTGACTCCTTCCGGGTGGTGAAGCTGAAGAGGATCCAGCGCAAATCTCGAATGCCGGACGCCAGAGACCCGCAAGAGAAAACCAACCTCAAAGATGTGATCAAGACACTCAAACCAGTGCCGAAAAATAGGCCGCCCCCGCTGGTAGAAATCACACCCAGAGATCAGCTTTTGAATGATATTCGTCACAGCAACGTGGCCTATCTTAAACCTGTAAGTAGAAGGAGGGAGAAACGGTGAGCGAGCATGTGAAATGCACCCCAACTCCAGTCCCTGTGCATTTTAACAGGATGATATTCTCACAAATTGTGACTAACTGGGTAAAACCAGTCACCATCACCGGTAAATCTAAATTGCTGATTATCCCCTAGGATAAACATCTGTGTCATTTCTATGACAACAATATTAACTCTAAATTTACTGAGCATTTACTATAGATCCATTATATGAGTGAACTCATATAATCATCTTAACAACACTTAAGATTTTATTACTCACCCACTTTTAAATAGGAACTGAGATTTATCTTATCTGCTCCCTATCCAGCCACACAGAGCTAGTGTCAAAGGTCTCCAGGAACCTTCTGTGAGGGATAAATAAGAACAAGGCCTACTTGGGTCAGTCCTTTGTAGATCACTGAGTGCTTACAAAATTCTTAAAAACAGCTGATTCTTTTTCAGTAGATAGAGACTATTTGCAATTGCATTTATACTTTTCACTTTTTAGGTCCAGAAATGGTAAGTTTCAGGTTAGTGTCCATGAATTTAAATAGATTTTAAACTATTTTACTGTTATTTTCATTGTGACAGTTACTATATTTCACTGGCTACTGCAGTGGATATGTGAAAATGCTTTACCCCTTGTAAGTTTATTTGTAGCAATAACTTTTGTATATGATGATATTTATGGAGCTGAGAAGTGTCCATCCAAATGTAGCTGATAACTGATTATTAATCTAAACTATCAATCTATTACTCAACAAAACAGTCAAATTATTTCATAATAGTCACAATTATTTTCAAGATGTTTTAAGCAAACTTCTATGTAAGCTAGTTCTTTTTCTGTATTAGAAAACTTTATTGGAGGAGGAAGACCTTCAGTAATTTATATAGTGATTTCCAGAATATAGTGTTAAATGCAAAAGTGAAATGAAACACATTACCTATAGTGTGCTACCTGGCATGGTGCTGGCACATGGCATGGGACACTCAAGTACACACACACATACATGCACACACAAAACACATGCACTGACACCATAAACAGAAGCTAAAAAATAGCTTTAAATATAAATTGTTACTTATTCACCTATTTGGGGCAGCCCTTACTCACATAAGCTGCCCTTCATTCCCACCTCCTAGTATTGCAGAATTGACAACATTCCATTCTTTGACAACATTCCAAATCAAAGATGACTTTCATCTGCTATTTAGAGGGACTCTGGTTCTTCCTGGCAAGGGACCAGGGAAAGAACGTTAGAGGTCACATGAGGTCAAGCCAGAGTCCCTCGCCTGCCCTTGGGCACATGCTCAAGACTTTCTGCACCTGCTCTTCTACAGGCAGCCAGCATTCATAGGCAGTGGATTAGGGTGTTGTTTGGAGAGCAACTGGCTCTTTCACTTCTGTAACTTGTGACCAGTAAAGTATATGCAAGCTCCCTGGCTGCCTATATCATTAAAAATAGCAGTCAGAGAAGACTGAAAAGAAGTCTCTTTTAAAATCTACATTAAAGGAGGCACAAGGATTCAGACCAGAAAGGAAAATGAAGTATCAAAGGATCGTCTAATTCAATGCCCTGCCTGGTGAGGGAATGTTCTGCTGTGTAAATCTTTCGCTGGAGTCCTTCCCATTCCATCTATTCACTTATTTTATTAATGCAACAAAGTGTGAGGCCCCATCAGAAGGGTCAGGGACTACAGTACTTAATGAGCCAGGTGCAGTCTTGACCTCATGGAACCAACAATGTTGGTTTTATCATTTTCATGGTCATGACTGTCTGCCTTTGAGTAACTGGGAACACTTTCGTTTTGAGTCCAAAGATCAAAGTAATTTCATGATGTTAACTGTAGAAATGCAATGTCCCACTACATTTCTCGTTTTTCATCTACAATCAATTCTAAAAAGTGATCCATTTTAAATTGTGTCTTTTTATTGAATGTCCACTAAGAAAGAAGAGCATGTCCTGTGGTAAATGCTGCAGGATTTTGGCATGATGGTCTTGCATTTCAGCTGCTGCTTTGAAATCTCTTTCATCTATTCCAAGGGATTAACAGTTTGTCCTGCTTTCACTTGCCTGGGTTGGATGGTGAGAACCATCTCTTTATATGTAGCTCAGATCCAAAGTATCACACAAATTCATGCACATGATCCTGTAAGAAAAACGTGAAAGCACATGGTTTCATTGAAGATAATTAATTTCTCTAAGAGCAATCTGCTTCCTGTTGTTTGTGTGCCTGCTACATACACAGTAAGTATCTACTTTAAGGCTGAATCATAGTGTAACATTTTAAATTAGTTTTTTATATCTTCTTATTTTGACATCATCTTGGATTTCTAGAAATCTGTCTGTACATGGTTCCCAATGGACACACAGCTCAATGGCCACACTAACAATGTGAAAGGCTAAGGCATTTTCCTACCTGCACCTGTAGCCACTGTCACAATGCACCATGGATTGAAAAGTGCTTTCTGATTTCAGACCTGTTAAAAACATCAAAACTGTGCATCTTAGATTCAGTGAAATACTGTCAATGACATCGGTGGTGATATTACAAAGGTCCAGCAGAAAGGAATATGTTTTTTTAAATATTTATTTATTTATGCATACAGAACTGGGGTACAGGCCAAAGTTGCAGGGGCAGTGAGAGGGTTCACCAGAGACAGAGTGGGGAGCAGAACAGGCAGATGGGCGAAGTACACTGCAGAGGGGAGCAGCAGGCAGATCAGGAGAGGTCTGCTGAGCCATATGGATCACCTCCAGAGCAGGTGGGGATCGAACTCATGCTTAAGTGGTTTTAGGTTCTTAGTGCTGTGCTTTAACCCACTGTGCCACTAGGAGGGGCCCCGAAAGAAATATTTTTGGTCTATTAAGTCACAAGAATGTTCACTTAGGGAGATGAAACTAAAGATTTTGGGGATTTTCCCTTCACTTACATTGAGAGACAGAGATGGTCCCCAAACCCCTAGGTTTTCAAGTAAACTGTTAAAATTAAAATACAATTTGGAAATCTTATGATTTTTTAATTGATGTTCCTAAGTAAAATGTTAAGTATAATCTAAATTTATAGTGCAAAATCATACTTAAAAATCATTCTTAGAAAATTTAAAAAGAAAAAGGGATTATTTTCCTCTCATGGATGTGGAAATACTCTCTGTATATTAAGAGCACATAACTTTAAGTAGTCAGTTTATACTTTTTAATTTTTTTTTCTTCATTTTAATTTTTTTCCCCCTTACCAAATGGATTGGGGTCCCTAAACTAAAGTTGCTAGCTAAGACTAAAGGAAAATCTGTACACTTGCTTGGCTCGAATGTTATATTCTCCAAGGAACTACCTGTTTAGTTCAGTTTAAGAGAGATATAATCTGTGAACTAGGTATTAAAAACTGATGGACTATAGGACAAATAAGTAGGATTTTAGTTTATTTTGCTGCTTTGTTTTTAGCTATTTTTCATTCTACCTTATCAAACCAACTAAATGTATTAGGTAGTGTCTAACTCATTTCCCTATGTTATTAACTCTGAATCAGCATGATATAGACCCCCAACTAAAACATTAGGCTTGCACAGACTTATCTCTCATTTCCAAATGTATGATTTCCTTTCATCCTTAAAATTTTTGTGGTTTGCTCACTACCAGTCATCCCAATGAGGATTTGAACTTTTCATTGGGATAAAATCCCATCTGCAGCAACTACAGTTGGGTGCATTTGTGTAGGATGCGACTTTTTGTGCCAATCAAACAAGCTAACTCTTTGTAAAAAGAGTCACCTTTGGGACTCTCCCTGGTGGTGCAACAGGTTAAAACACCGCATTATGAAGCTCTCAGAAGACACTGCAGCACAAGTTCGATCCCCAGCCAGGGAGTTGACCCATATGGTGTGGCAGACCTCTTCTGGCCTGCTTGCTGCTCCCAAAAGCAGTGCACTTTGTCAGTTTGCCTGCTCTACTTCCCATTCTGTCTCTGATAAATCCTCTCACCCACCACACCTCTGGCCTGCACCCCAGTTCTGTAAGCATAAATAAATAAATCTTTAAAAAGTCACCTTCATTTTGGTGACTGGATGCATAGCTGGACTGCTCCTACTGCCTAAAGACAATGCTAAATTTGTAAAGACTTAAGTATTAAAATATCACAAGTAACTTTAGTTAGCCAAAAGGCTCCATGTCACATTAGCATTGATTATGAATGCAGAATTTAAGATCAAAGACTCTTGAGTCTTTGTCTTCATCTCTGGTCATTTCTTCTTTACTTGGAGTTTTGTTTCACTTCCCTTTCAACGATACAAAGGACACACTGTTTTATTATTTATTGCAGTTGTCAAGGTATTTTAAGTTTCTCTAGATTCTACTCTTTTGCAGTTTTCTCCACTTTCCTATCTTATCTTCTCCCTTTTTGCCAGTATCGTGGACAATACTCAAACCTCTCTTCCCCTTTCAAGATCATTTAGCCTTTGCTTAGCACCTAGATTCAGTCTGTCCTAAATCAAACTCCCCTTTTTAAGCCTGACTGTTGTCTTGAGTTCCCATTTTCACATGCTTATCTATCTCCAGTCTCTCACATATGCAGGTCCAAAGTCCCAGAGTTGTTCAGTTCCTCTGTTCCCTGCCTCTTGTTCTTACCTCCAGAAAAGAACCCAGACAATCTGTAAGAGTCAAAGCCAAGCCATAACTTTAGAAATTTTATGTTCCTAAAGAATCTGCATGGGAGAAAGCAGTGTGACGATTTAGACTCATCTGAAGAATACATATCAATCAGGAATTATATAGAATGGCACTACCTTTCCCTGGCACCCAGTGAGAGAAAGTTTCTGAATTATAAGTTTGTTTGTTGTTGTGTTTTTTTTTTTTTTTAAGATTTATTTATAAATGTATACCAGATCTGGAGTGCAAGCCAGAGATGTGGGAGGTGAGAGGATTCACCAGAGACAGAGTGGGGAGCAGAACATGTGGATCTACAATACACTGCTGAGGGGAGCAGTAAATGAGATGGGAGAGGTCTGCTGTGCCATGTGGGTCATCCCCTGGCCACCAAGGATCAAATTTGTGCTATAGTGGCTGGCAGTAGCTTGATAGCTCTGTCTCTAACTCCTGTGCCACCAGGCAGAGCCCTTGAATTACACTTTCTATGATAATGATCATTAAAGTTAAGCAAGCATTAGAACCCATGAAAGGCTGAAACCAGTTACTGAAAACATCCTTGTAATAGCTGATTCATTGGATCTTCCAGGGCCTGAAAATATGCATTTCTGACTCGTCCCTTGGTGACAGTGATGCTACTTAGTCAGAGGCCACACTTTGACCACCATGAATCTCGGTGACATCTGTGGGAAACCACATCTCCTGAGTGGTCTTTTCCTGCCTCTCTACCACCCTCTGCTACAACTGCCTCTTATTCTATCTTCTGTCTACTGAAATCAAATGACTTAGATCAAATATGACTTTTTACATGAAAGAGATCCAAGAAAAACACCATTAATGAAAGCTCCTCTCTTGTACCTCCAACACCATTCTATACCTCGTTCGCAATACTTCCTTCTTTGTGCTTCACGTTGAGAACCCTTATGGATACAATACAGGTCTCCTAGGAGATTCTGTGAGTCTTTAGGACAAGTCTCTTTTACCTCTATCTGGACACCCACTGAGGTGTTGGCCAGAGCAGGCCCTTGATTCAGGTGTGCCTAATTAAATCACTGCAGCTAAAATAGACCTTCCATCCTCCCCAAGCCTCTCAACCCCTGGGAGTACATGTATGTGTGCACCATCCAATCATACACACATGTGTATTCACAGCATACACAGATTTTAAAACTAATTTTAACCAGCAAGTGGTGAAGAAATAGGGTCTCCTAACAACACTACAAGTTGATTCTTCCTTTTGTGTAAGTTTTAAGAACATCATTTCTAACTATCTTTTACTTTATGATTTGATTTTTGTGTTCTGCTTAGAAAAAGCTTCTCTTGATGATGAATAAACATCTGCCTGTCTTTTCTTGATTCTTTTAGGGTTTTTAAAAATATTTTATATTAAAGATAAGTGATTGCATAGCTTGTATGTAAATAGTAAGCAAGAAGTTTCCTTTTTATCTCTTTTGCAAATAGTCATTATTCTTCTTTTGGCCAGTGACCTTTCCTGCCAGTTTGGTAATATTTTAAGTGAGTCACTATGTCTGGGTTTACTATTTTGGGTCAGGGTCACATATTTTTATTATTTTTGAACCCTTCCTTGCATACATCAAAACATACAGCAAATGACATATTTTTCCTATTCATTACTGCAAAGAACACACTATTTTAAATTATTTATTACAGCTTTGTATGTATTATAAGTACCTGATATGATACTTTGTACTCATCAATACTCTATGTGGGAAGACTACCAAGATTTAGCCTAACACCCCTTCCTTCAAGAAAAGTCTGACACTTGGGGGCAGAGGGTCAGAGGTACGTGCGTGGCAGGTACTTTGGTGTGAAGGTGGGACACGTAGAAGAAGCACATCAAAGATCCTCTTTGGTGGGCAAGGTATTAGAAAGCCCTCCTAGCCAAAAGTCATGGGCAGAAAACTGGCTGCTGGAGGAGCCACAGCAGATGGTCAGGATGGTCCATCACATTGGCAAGTAGACACGAGAAACAGAAGGGGAAACAGTCATGAGTGTACAAATTTGAATGTGCTCTAGACTACCTTGGTGTTCTGAAAGATACTTGCATGGGGGATGAGTCATTCTTCCAAGATACACCACCATTTGAATTTCTTTAAGAATTTGCTTTATCTTTAAGCTGGCCCTGTGAAACAAAATTATAAGTTGATTTGCAGTCATATTTATGCTACTCTTTTGCAATCTTTCTGCTCTTGGGGGTTCCCCCAGTTAATATCTTAACATTTTAATAAACCTAAAATTAGGAGCATGCTTCAAAGAGGAAAGACCAGTTTTGAAAGGAATATTTTTTATGTTCTCGAGGTGGACCTTTTTGGTTTTGTTTTAGTGGTTACAGTATTGATACTGGAATCAGGCAGATCTTGGTTCAAATCCTACTTGGCTACTTCCAGTTTGTGTGATCTTAGGTAAATTGCTTATCCTTTCTGAGCCTCTTCCCTCTTTACAAGGCTTTTGTGAGATAAAGTGAGAAAATGGTTTAAAAATGGATTTATATTGATTACAAATTTTCATGATATTATGCAGTCCTTAAACAGTCTTATGATTTAGATACTGCTTTTGGCATTTTACAGCAGGCAAAATTGATGTCTACATAAAGTAAGTGCTGATATTAGGACTTACGCCCCAGCACACCCAAGAGCCCCCTCTTATTTCTGGGATGTGCCTCAATGTGTACCTCAAGTAAATGCCCAGTGAATGGTGGTTATAGTTGTCAGCATGCATTTTCATTATTTGGGGGCTCTCTGACTGGAATTTCTAATCCATTCTTCATCCCTTGAAGCATATAAACTTTTGTCACTTTTGTTGTAAAACTGTTGAATTCCCAGCATTAATTTTTCCCTTTCCTTCAAATGCTTAACCTACAGGTACAACTGCCAAAAGAACTGGAATGAGAGTCAACTAATCTAGAAGAACAAGGAATTGAAATAACTGCTTTAGCACTTGGAGACTACTTCAGCAGCATTACTTGGGATTTCAGGTGGCAGAACTGGGACTAAGCTGACATCTGCTGGGGGTATTTTGTATAAGACAGGATGCTTGACCTACAACAAAATAAGGGTTGATGAGGAAGGAGAGTAGAGGTAAAATACTAATAGCAGGCACAATGTTTTCTACTTCTAATCAATTTGAGTGACTTAGGTGACATTAAAAATAATGCTTCAAGCAACAGGAGTCATAAAAAAATACATGCTTTACTGTTAATCTGCTTAATAACAATAGACACTATAAGAGATGTCAACTGTTCATCCCCCCCTTTTTTGTCCTTCCACTTTCCCTGTTGTAATTCATCACAAAGTATCTTAAAAAAATTTTTTTTAAAAAAAGCCCTCTCTGATGGTGCAGTGGGTTTAAGCATAGTGCTATGAAGCTATCTGAAGCCATTGCAGAATGAGTTTAATTCCTGGCCAGGGAAGTGACCCACATGGTGTGGCAGACCTCTCCTGACCCATCTCCCCTCGGCAGTGTGTTTCAGCACATCTGCCTGTTCTGCTCCCCATTGTGTCTCTGGAGAATCCTCTCACCCCTGTACCTCTGGCATAAAAAAATAAATCTTAAAAAAAAATCTTTTAAATTGTTTCATTCTGCAGATATATGCAGAGTGAATTGAACCCTAGAACTTTCTGATGCTTTGACATAGAAAAAAGGTTAGCTCTTTTCTGGATAATCAATTGAGATTTCCTTTTGAACCCTGCCTGGCTTTCTTTTGGTCATTCCCCCAGTGTTTTGGGGTAAACTTTCGGTAGGGCACTTCTGAAGAACAGAATGCGTAAGTCATTGGACTTGGAAAAATAGACTCCAAAAAATGGAGTTGTCAAATGGAGTGACAAAAAATACACAAGGAATAAAAATCCATGCGTGTGTATCAAATCTTCTGTTTCTATGTTTCAGAACAATGCTCTTTTTACATCTTGAGAATCTAATTTTTAAGTCTAAATTTAATCTTGTTCCTTTCCTCAAAAATCTGAAGGAAACTTGCTACAGGATTAAATTTAAATCCTTATCTTCTCATTCAAGATCCTCCCTGCACATAGTCCCATTTTACTAATCAATGTTTATTTACCATAAATCTTTTATCTTTCTTCTGATAAAGCAGCTTCACATGTACCCCACACCTTTGCTCTGACCATTCTATAACCACCCCAAATAACTTCACTTCTGCTTTGCTTACAAAAGTACTTTCCCATTTCAAATCTAGGTCAAGACCTAATCCTCCACAAAAAGCTCTCAGGCAACTCCAAACTAGTGTTATTTCCTCCTTCCAGGGATACCTAGCGTCTTTAATCACCTGTTCTAGTCACTTGGAGCATAGAACTTGAAATTTTATAGAGAAGTGGCATAAATCCTTGAAAGTAGGAAATCCCACTTCGGTTGCCTCTCGTCTTTACCTGAGTCATCGGTGCCTGCCTTGTTTTTCCTTTTATATAATCCCATGTAGCTCATAGTTAGCAAAACAGGCTGGAAGAAAAGTGGGTCTCATGGGACAAACTTAGAACAATACATTTTTGTGAAAGACAAGCCATGGGAAAGAAATATGCTTTTTCTATTTGTAAAGATAATTTAGCATGTACTCAAAATTATAGTTTTAATCAAGTAACTAATATTAGAATAGCCAAGCCTGAGTTTGTTTCCCCTCCATTACAATTCTATAAAATGTCCTTGTATACAATGCAGGGAAAGGACTGCAATAATCAAACCTTTTAAGTGTTTTGTATTCTCTACATCTAAGATGTTAAGCTCTGAAAGGATAAAAGCACACTATACATGCTTAAAAGCTTGTGTGTATTAATAGCTGGAATTCTAGAAAACCGTTACTAAATAGTCACACTACTAAAAGTCAGCAGTCCAGAAAGAGCATTTTATTATTATACGTTCAGAAAGAAATTTACAAACCTGTAACTTACTGCCTCAATTCACTGCCATCCAAAAGTAGAACACTGCTATTTCATATGATTTGTAAGGTATTGGGGAAGTTTGGAGACTCTATGACCATTACTTTCTACAGAAAATGTTTTACGCATTTCAAGATGCAAAAAATGATTAAATAACCTATCAAACCATACCAAGTAGGAACTTTCTACTTTTGGGTATCTAGCTGAAACCTGGGCAGGCTTCATAGACAGGTGAAGCAGTTTAACATTATGCTTTTTCTATTCATCCTCTTCAACCCTAAATATTTTAGCTGAAGACTTTGTTTTTAAATAATATAATTTGGCAATAAATTATAGCATTTGTATGCTAAATTTTTCTATTGTCATCCTTGAAGAAATGGTCACTGAACAGTAATTGTAATGAGTATTTTTTTTAATTCAAGTTGTCGCTTTCTCCCAATTAATTACGTTTAGTCTACAAAATTCACCATGTAAAATATGGGTGAGGCTAAAATGTGTATAAGCCCATGTCAGGTTTAAAAAGGATCTCATTGGAACTTAATTTTATTCTGGCTGGAAATTCATAAAATACTGTGATTTTATTAAACAGTATTTGAAAAACAAGCTGAGTGTTTGCTGCATATTATCATTATAAGTCGTCACTAAGTTTCTCAAACACTTAACACAGAGGTGCATCAAATAAAGTCTCACCAAAAAAACAGTCTTTCATGAATTTTATTCCTCATATTCGGGTAAGGATACAAATTCCAGACCATGTCTGTGCAATTATGGTGATCCTGTTGTGCTAGAGATCGAGGCTGCAGGTCGGCCAAGAAATGAAAGTGAAGAAACACCAGGAGCAGCACGTGCTGTTGCATGGAACAACCAGGAGGTGTCTTCCGTAAGTACTGCTCCAGTTGTCATTGTACATCAACATCAGAGAAACCTAAATGTTTTCTACTCATTTATGAAATCACTCAATTGGCAAGCAAACATTTTGTATAATCTGTTTCAAAATACATGGGAAATAAAAGGCAGACAAGAACAGAATAAACCCATGCTATCTTAATTCTAATGTCTATTATAAAAACATAAGTCTGAAATTTTCAGGAATCAGCAGAAGCTGGGGATCATTCCCTTTATCATTCCCATTTTTAAAAGTCTTTTTTGCTTGGTTATTGAAAGCTGTTTTTCAGATTTCAAAAGATCAATAATTATTGTCCTCTTTGTGCCCCTAAGCCATGAATAAATATATACATTCAGCTTCTTTCTAATGTTCCAGTTTAAACAATGAAAAAAAAAAACATGGGAAACAATAGATTAGACACCTTTTTGTCATTAGACCAACAAAAACTGTGCAACATAAACAGAACTCAAGGTTTGTTTTATTTGTTGTTTGTTTTTCAACAAGACTGTCAAGAATAAATGTTGCACCCAGCCTCCTTAAAGAAGGCAACATCGTGACAAACACCTTCCCTAAGAACACATTACTATTTTGAAAACTTACAAAAATTTGACAAAATATTCTACTCAACAGCTATCTTTATATTTGTAAACAAAATATAAACAACTGGTTTATCCAGTTTTCAACTGCACATCAAACGGGTGGCAAAGTGATAAAGATCATCTTTGATTTTACAAACAAAACTTATTTATACCCCACCTATTATAATCATAGGGAATATTTTTGGAGGGTGCCAGAGGGGATTAAAGCAGGCCAATGCATGACATAATCCACCTTTACAGTCTTCTTTTAGTCACATTGCCTTGATACTCTACCATTACCTTTTTCCTACTGAACAAAGTGTTGTTACCATACAAGCCACACTACTTTTATTTTCTTATATTCCCCTAAAGAAATGTGTGATTCACTTTTAGTCAATTTTAGTCAGCACACTTGAAAATTCAGACATCATAATAGGAGGGCAGTTTCTTTCTATTTCTGAAGCTTTCCCTCTGTAACATCAGAGATGTTAAAGAGTTTGGCCTCCAAATGCTGCCACAGATAGCTCAAAGTATGTGCAGCCCCTATTTCAAGAACACAAATAGAAAGGAGGTGAGGGCACATTGCAACTGGATTTCTGTTGCAGCCTTCTCACCAACTTAGATTTATTCCTTGACTTTACTGATATACTCAGTGATTTTGGTGATGTTTTCTTCCTGCTGTTCTAGGGCACCCAGAACAATGCCCATCGGCGTTCTCTTCAAACCTATTCCCTCCATTTTATTCTCCACTTTGTTCTTGAGGTTTCGAAGTCTCAATGAAGCATGGATGAACATCACTGCAGAGAAGTGAAACATGGTTAGCATCAAAAGAACAAGTATGTTTCTCCAAATCAACATCACCATGTCCTCTCTTTACACTATCAGTAACTGCCTCAGTTAGCTAAAGACCAATCTGGTTCCATAATCAAGCTAAATCTTCAAGTGAATCCTTTTATTTTATATAAAGTTCTGTGTTAATTCTCACACAAAGTTTTCTTCCTATGTGAAGAAAGCTATTGTATTTAGCAGAACGAACAACAGCCAGGCTTCTTAACAGTGCTGTTACTTAAATGTCCTGAGATTCAAAGCCAATCAATGTGATTCGAACTTACTACAAACTGGCTGATAGAGTTTTCCAGAAAGGAATTCTTGCTCAATTTGGGGATTATTTGTATGGTGAGAAGCCTGTGGGTAAAGTCCATTCAGCAGGTGCCTCTGAAGCAGTGTTTCAAAGTTTGTTAGATACAAAAGAACAGACACAAACTTAAAAGTTTTATATAGACCATACATAACCCAGTGCTCCCTAAATCTGCTTCATCATTAAGAATTGTCTGAGTATGTTTATTAAGAAACAGATTCCCTGGCCCCTCTTTGGGCTCTCCTGAACTGGAACCTTAAAGAGTCTGGCATTCTAAATTTTAAATAAGAACCGCCGGTAATCTATACTAGCAATTTTCAAATTTTATATACAAATCACCCAGAAAGCCTCTTAAATAGGCAAACGTCCTATTTGCCAACCCTAAACTGGGACTATAGCAAGGCTCCAGAATATAAAATTTCAATTAATCCTTTTGGGTAATTCTCAACCTGAATATGCATAACACTCAGTGACTCCCAATCTACATGCATCATCAAACATTTGAGGGGCTTTCTAAAATGATATGTTGTTTGGTCTCCACTGTGGATCCATGAAATCAAGACCTACAAGAGATGTGGCTGGGAAATTTATATTTTAATAAGTGACCTGGATGATTCCCACAATCATCAAAATTTGAGAATCCGTGATCTTTCCTACTTTTTTTATTTTATAGGTGAGTGAATGAGAGAAATGAGAAAAATGGGCACAAACACATGACAGTTTCCAGTAGGTCCAGGAACAGAAACCAAAAGCCTTGGATCTCGCCTATGTTACATTTCACTATGTTGGCCTAATGTGACAGTTACTAAGGCTAACGGAGCTGTATGGTTATGCAAAAATCACTGAAATAGCAAGACTCTAGCACATAAGGATGTTTTACACTAAAAGACTGAATTTGTTGATGCAAATATTTTGTCCAGTAAGGTGTAGGATTCTTCCATATTCTGGGTTTACTCTAACCAAACATCTGATTTCATTTAAGGAATAAATGAACAAGTGAAGTTAAAGGAATGTTCCAGTTACTTAATTCACTAAAATTTTTAACAGATTTCTGTTTATGTAACTGAACTTTTACCTGTTCCTTAGTTCAGGCTTCAAGTGTTTGGGAATCTCAGCAAACAATGCATGTTAAAAAATACCTAATTCTCTTCATCAGAATCAGTTGTTGGTATTTATATATTCTAGGCTAATTATTCCTATAGACTTAAAACTTTTGGAAGATCTTTTGTGTAAGTGAAGAGTTAATAGTTTTCTTCCAAATGAAAGCAGTACCATTATTGCTGTGTTGGGATGGTATGAATAGCACTTAAATACTGACAACAGACTCTAACATGAGACAAATGTGAACTGAGTCCAATGAAGACTGCCATTTTGTTGCCATATGACTGGAGATTTGTTTTTGTTTTGTTTACTTTGTGTCCCAGAAGAGCGTCTGGCAAGAACAGGTGCTCACTACACATGTGGTGAATTTATGGATATGAAACCTTAGTCTTATGTTTCAGAAAACTATAGTTTTGTAGACATGTCAACCACTACACATAAACAAGTTCTGTAATGCTCGTTGAACAACCGCCTACATTTTTTGTGCTTTTAGAAAAGGAAGACTCAGGGTCACTTACGCAGCAAAGGAAACGTGATGCCAAACACAAAGACCATGACTCCCCCAAACAAGGATATAAGGAAGTAGCTGGCCAGCATGACCACCATGACAAAGGCCGTGGGGTACTGCTTCTTCATGCGCCGGAGGACATCTTTATTGTGGGCTGCCCACACAAAGCCCGTGAACACCAGGACCACCACAATGCCGCCAAGGATCATATTGAAGGGGCTTAAGAAGCTGGAATTTGAAAAAATGAGAGAGACTAGGTTAGCAGTAGCAGGAGGAAGATCTGAGAAGAGGGTAAAAACCAGTACAAGGACATGCGCCTGCCCTCTCTTTGGAAACTTCATGTTAAAGCACTTCATATGCGTGAACAACTTACCTTTGAAACTTTTATTGTTGTTGTTGCTACACAAACAAAAAAACAAAATCTTTTAAGGCAAAAGTCAAAAACTCAAAACTGGAGGTCAGCACTGATTTGGGAGCAGCTGAGTGGGAGACAGCAGTGCCCCAAACAGCAAGAAGTGGCCCTCCCAGACTACTTTCCCCAGAACGTGTATACATCACAACACCCCTGCTTTTACCATAGGTAAGTTGTGTGTGCTGTTTACTACGATTTGGGGGAATCTGGCAAGGCTAAAAAGTGATTCCATGGGAATCAATGGTATTTATTTTATCACTTTCTGCTATTTGCTTCTGAAAGGTTTCACTAGACACAGTACTTGCAGACAACAAGGGAAGCATGTTTATCTAAACTGTCTCATTTAATCCTCATAATGTGATGAAGCAGGCACTACTAATTTGCTTCTCTAATGCAAACACTCAGGCTCACCTCAGACACAGAGGTTAGAAAGCAGAAGAGCTGAGGCGCTCACATCAGCAGTTTAACTCCCACCAAACTGGTCCATCCACCTCAGTAGTAGCCCACAATTTTCAAAAACTAGTCTTTTTTTGGAGGGCTGTGTTTAGCCTGTCTGCATCCTCATTATAATAATCCACATTACATTTTACTTTCTTAGCTCTTAGAGCTTATTTATTAACTTATCACAGAAGCTGCCACAATAGATGGACATCAAGTAGAAGTCATACAACTGCCTCTAAGGGTGAGGGCCAGTCTCTAGTCACACTATAAGACTTTCTCTTGAATCCCAATGGCTTTTTTTTTTTTAATCTATAACATTTGAGATTTTCTGATTCTTTAGGAAACACCTTCTTCCCCACATATCAACAACTGGCTGAAGCACCTGCTCATTCAGATAACACAAATCCTTGCCTCTAGTCCCAGTTCCCACCATATCTCTGACATAAAGATTGGTGAGGGGCGGGGCGGGGGGAGGGCCCTTGAGGGGAGAACTGCCATTAATCACTGTTACTTTAGAAGTTGACCTGTACAGCTCTCTTAAAGCACCAGCCTGGCCCATGCAGGCATTTGATTAGGATTCCTAGCATAGCGTCCACTATAATTCCTTAAAAAGATATCAACATATCATTAGGAGAGGGGAGAGGGGTTGCTAACAGATTTAGAAGCAAAGCACCCCCAGATTCATTGCTGTATAAACCAAAGAGTACACTGCTATTGATAAAGGGGGAGATATTAGGAAGAGGAAACACAGACCAAGGGCTTCATAAGTGAGAATGAGCACACACTGGCGCTCCCCTACCCTGACCCACTGTTTATACAAAACCTTCAAAGAGGCATTTGTGGTTAGGCTGAAAAAAAAATGAGTAATCAACTTGTTACACTCACAAGAGGCTAACAAGCACTTTCAAGGAAAGAACAAAGAAGGTCAATATGTCTTCATGTTCTGAATATCAACATGACTTCTTTGGAAATGAGGGACAGGGAAGATAGGATAACGGAAGGTGATGCCAAGAACTAACTTTCTCTGAACTAGAACAGATGAAAGATTCATACTTACATCAGGATTCATATTTAGGATCATTAAAATTCCTTTTTTCATACATCCCTTTAAATTTTAGATCCCATTTTGCCTTTGAAACATACAGACTAGTTTAAAAGGGTTTTCAACAGGAGTGAAAGTATTGCATAGATAATGGGGAAAATCAGATAATGAATGTCAAACTGCTTTGAAAAGAACTTAGAGAAAAAATTCTTTTAAAGGGCAAGAAATTAGACAGTGGTAACACTAGTAGTACCTAATTTAGAATGAAGCACTACAATCCTAAATTGCTTATTTCATTCAGAATTTTTGCAAATACTTATATCCTTCAAGGCAATAAGTCTCCTTGGAATCAAGTCTAATGAAATAAATAAAAGTGCAAAGATTGAGACACAGCAGCTTTTAGAAACAATCCATATAATCAACACTATACCAGCTATGATATATTCAGGTGTTTTTAAGAAGCTAAACTATAATAAGATGGGAAGACAAGATATATATAGCTATATCTATATATATCTATATATATATATATAGATATATATAGGTAGACGCAACTATAACCCATTCTCTCTGTGATGGATTTACATGTCATATAGATCAGAAGTAGGAATTTTATAGTAGTATAAGAAATGAACAATTAAAAATATTCCTGCTTTCCAGTCTCCCGGCACAGGCTTGCCACGCTGCAGGTACAACAGGCCATCCTCACCTATGTCCTCTCTCCAATAACATCAAGGTAATTTCACATCACCCCTGAGAGCAAGGCTGCTTCTGCTCCCATCTAAACCCTGCTTTCCTCTCTATTCTCCAGATCCTCTTGTAGACAGTCTGAACAACCCACTCCCAAGCATTTCCACTGTCCAGCACAGCAGACCATGCTATTTTCTCTAATCTTTCTCTTCTTGGGTTTGCTTAATTTTGCTGTACCTTTTTTCTTCTCTAAAGTTTTATCTAGATTACACCCACCCTATCTTCTAATTTAAAAATCCTATAATTGATCTTGGAAAGATGAAAATTTCCTTTCCGGTCCGGGGAAAAGGAGAACTGGACAGAGCAAAACAACATCTTCTTTAGCAGGTGGTGGGGAAACCAAGTGGCGAGGCCCCAAAACTAACAGACTAATAAATGACATTCCTAGCATCAAAAAGATCTGAGTGGAATTATACCAGGAGACAACAGAACCTATACTGGCAAGTAAGTTGACGGGTAGTTTATTTCCATTTATTTATTTCTAGTTTCATTTTTTTTCAATAGCCACATAATCTTTTAATAATAATAAAAAAAAAAAGTATTGGCCCTCCCTGGTGGCCCAGCAGGTTAAAGCACAGCACTGAGAATCTAAAGCCGCTTCCGCATGAGTTCAATTCCCACCTGCCCTGGAGGTGACCACATGGTGTGACAGACCTCTCCTGACCCGCCCGCTGCTCCCCTCAGCAGTATACTTCCTTGATCTGCCTGTTCTGTTCCCCACTCTGTCTCTGGTGAAGCCTCTCACCGCCCCTGAGCCTCTGGCCTGTACCCCAGTTATGTATGCACAAATAAATAAATCTTTTTTAAAAAAAAGTATGTAGGCCCTCCCTGGTGGCGCAGCGGGTTAAAGCACAGCACTGAGAATCTAAAGCCACTTCCGCATGAGTTAGATCCCCGCCTGCCCTGGAGGTGACCACATGGCGTGGCAGACCACTGCTGACCCGCCCACTGCTCCCCTCAGCAGTGTACTTCCTTGATCTGCCTGTTCTGTTCCCAGCTCTGTCTCTGGTGAAGCCTCTCACCACCTCTGAGCCTCTGGCCTGTACCCCGGTTCTGTATGCACAAATAAATCTTGAAAAAAAAATTATAAAAAAAAAAAGTATTTAAAAATGAAACTGGAGAAAAATATCTATAAGAAACAAACCCTTTTGCATAGCCTTAACTGTAACCCACCCAAATATTACTGAGATGCAAAAATATTCAAAGATCAAAACTAAATCAAAGAACTAGCATAGGAGGTTAAAATTTAAGGATTCTTCTCTGCATATGGTGCCAATAGGAGCTAGCTGGTAGCAGTCTCAAAGGTCTCCTACTAAATGCTTCCTAGAGAAGACTATACTTTCAGGGATCATTTCTATAGTTCATTACTAAATGCTTCCTAGACGACTGATTCAAATGGTAATTCATGAGGTAGAGCATATGATCAAATTAATGTTAAGCTTTTTCTGTTTTCCTCTCCACAAGTAAAGTAGACATCTTGTTTGAATGTGTAAATAAAGTCCAGGAGAAAAAACAATAAAAATTCCAAGTCTGACTCAGGCCATTCCAAACTGGCTTTCACCTGTTTCCACTGCTCATCTTTGCAGGAAAGGAACAGAGCAGAGAGTCCTATAGAACTGGTTTTAGCTGACAACATGCCCAGCCACAATCTATAATTAGAAAGGAACCAAGTTTCCAAGTTGGAAAAAAGTAACAAAGTTACTCAGAACAGAAATGATTTTCTTTGGTATTCTGCTTACTTGCAATTCTATTCTAAGAAATGGTAAAATGGTCCCACTCCAATTTCCTGGCACCTACCTACACTTGGAACAAAATAAACAAACACACACACACCAATCTCCAGAGTTTAATTTCATTTTCCAGTGAGTGTAGAAATTTGGGGAACAGTTCTTATTGAGATAGTAAAGCTTTTAGTCAACAGCTGTCTTCATTGCACCAGTCACCGTAAACCCCGAGAACCTTAAGGTCCAGCCTTCCATGACAATGTCATGATATCACGGCATCTTTCATGGGAATAAGCACCACCCCACTCTGGTGGTGGGGTTTAGTTTACTGGCAATATGTCAATCAGATGAGGGAGAGAGGGAGGGATGGAAAGAGGAAGGGAGGTGGAGGGATGGATGAATGAGAAGGAGGGGAGAGGAAAGAGTGACATTGACTTTCTGTCTTTGGTAGAAACAGGACCTAGTTTTACAAATCAAAAACATTAAATATGTTTTCTAGTGTGAAATACAAATATATACACATACATATATAGCATTCCCAAAATCAATCTAATAAATAAATAAAACAATTTAAACATCCAGAACAGTGATGGTTTTAAAAGGTTTACAATTCCATTACAGAATCCTATAGCAGAGTCTTCAGATGAATCAGTGCAGTCCCATTACACAGATGAATAAAGTGAGACCCAGGGAAATGAATAAACATATTTAAAGGGATCCAGAAAAGAAAAACTGTCACTGTGACAATTCACACTATAACCCGTTCAGTTCACCAGCTTCAGGGATTTGCTCCCAATTATTCTAGGCAACCAACCCTACTCTCCCAGCTAGGCTACCCAACTAAAGACCATCTGGGAAA